TACAGATTTTAAAGGTTTACAGCAAGGTCAAATTCGCTTTTAAAAGCAAGTCAGTCATTTTTTTTTGTAATTGCCACATTATGCTTATAATTAAATGTATGTTTTGAGAACCTTTAGAGCAAAAATGGGATCACTATAAAGTTATTTTCTTGTGACAAGTTTTGCCAATAAAAAGTGTGATTCGTGCGATATTTGTACGCAAAATGTGTGTGAGAAGCGGGAAGTGCGGTTAACAACAGATTTATAGTATTTTATATAAATTTATGAAGAAAGGTTTTAATCTAGCCTCAATTATTGTGAAAAATTATAATTAAGTTAAGGAAAATTGATACAAACTGTTGTGAAAAGTATGGATGACATTGATTTGCCGGTTAAAGAGATATTTGAGGATAAGTTGCGCAACGAACTTTTGACCGCGCAGTTAACACTTATCATCTTGCGCAATCGGTAAAGAGATAACGGCGAAATACTTCGGAGCCACGTACTCTACAAGGTTCTTCAAACTGTAGGGATAGGCAAATATCGAAATAAGTGTAATTCTTTTTTTTAACCTGCTTGTGCATATTGTTAGCCCTTCAAATATGGGCCTAGAAACGTAAACCTACGTGCGCACACGAATGTGGAAACATTATGTTCGAAATGTCTACGTAACCCACTCTTTTGTTGAAAGAGTGCGCTAACACCTTCTCCAACACAACGTTTTATTGCAAATTTTAGGTCAGGGGCTGAAAATCTTCCAAATAGCACTGGGTTCACCCCCCCTCCCCCTCCCCCCACACTTTCCCTACGACGCACCAGTGAACTGGAGTTTTATCAGTAGCCTCCACCCTATATATATATATATATATATATATATATATATATTTTTTTTTTTTATAGTAGAGGGTTTTACGGCGCTCGCTCATATGAACGCCAAGGGGTGGGTGTCAACAGAGAAGTCTTTACAGGGAATCATACTTATTCTACTCACCTCTCTAGCTCCAACAGCAGAAGGTCTGCTTCGACTATCAAGGCACCCCGGAAATAGCAAGTCACAAGAGAGTGACAAACATACAAAAGAAGTAGAGGAAAATGACAATAGTAAGAATTAAGAAAGAAAAAGCAGCAGTTCCCAGTTTTAGATCAGGCACAGTTATGAGCGTGGCATGAATCAGCCCATTTACAATTCTGCTATGCTTGAACGAGAAATGTCCCCCCTTTGGGAATGGCCTAAAGACACTACAGTCAGAGGAACCGCCCCGCGGGGTAGCCTCCACTCTAGGTAAGAGACGATACCCAAAGTACGAATAAGAACAATTTATTTTATTTCAATAAGTTCTTATCTTTCTATGATCGGAGGGGGGAAATGCAGATTAAAATATTATTGAATTAAATACATCTTTCTTTTTTTTTTTTTGGGGGGGGGGTTGTTAAAAAACATTTTCGCTCAACAATCTCTCATCACAACATTCACTTTCACAACAACAACACATGTCACATGTCATCTATAATTGATTGTTAGCCTTAATGAACCCATCCAGTAATACATGTAATAGTTTTTGTTGTTGTTTTTTTTTTTGTTGAAAAAAAATTAACAATACGAGGTTCGCAGCTGATTCTTTTTTTACAGGATAAGAAAAGAATCAGCTATTTCTCTAAGACAAATTTTAAAAAATGTGTCTGCTCTGTTCCTGGCATTATACCATTTTCAATCACTTTCAAAATGCAATTGCACTTTACTGGCCTACTTCCACAACTAAAAGTTGACTGAAATCTTCTAATACAACAAGTCTATTTGGGACAATAAAGGCAAGAGCAGAGCCCACGAAGTGTATTTTCATAAACAATGGATAACAAACTTCTCACTCAGGCAATCAATTAATAACATACTCAGACTTTGCTTTCGAAAATAGTCGACACATTATATAAAAAGCGAACGTCTCAAATATAATCCTTCACTAACATTCACTTTCTTTCAACAGTTTCATGTGTGTGTGTGTGTGTGTGTGTGTGTGTGTGTGTGTGTGTG